ATATATACTGTAAATCTTGAAATTAACGCGAGCGTGAATTAAATGCGAAAGATACGAATGGCCATTGTTCGCATTAATGAAACTTCGCATTTATGTCTCCAAAAATCACTATCAACAATGAGACGGACTAACTGCGGAAATACCAACTTGAATATATACACAAACACGGTTTATTGAGCAGCAGTTGTAACAAGTACAAAACAATGTCATTTACAGAAAAGGAATTACACAATAGGCATCCGGTGAGTTATCACAGCTGTGGTCAAGAGTTCTACCTACTCGCGTCAATCTAGGCATCATTGACAACTCCAATCAGTGAACTGTTGTTGGTTCAATTATCTTTTGCCTTTGAACTTTCTTAATGCCAGTCAACAGAATAAACATATCAACCGTGTATTGTTTTTAGGAAAACACTTTATATTGTTATTACGGAAGTGCTTTACTCAGTGCATATAAGCGATGTTATTTGTGTTTGATTGGATTAAGTTAGAATATGTATCATTCCACAGGGAATGAGGTGGGGGGAGTCGCATTGATTTTGAGTTGCATTTTTTCCAAGGTTTACAGTACTTGTCAAGCATACTCTTTGGTTACAATTTGTGACTCGACTGATTGTGTGTAAAAGTGTCGAATGTCATAGATCACTGCTCATGCTATGGGTCACTGCTGCTCGAGTGGTCATACACATATATGTGTGTTCAAGCGATAGCTATAATTGTGTGACTGGGTGCATTACAAGAAAGTAAAATCCCAGCTGTGTCACACAGGTCTGGGGAGGTAGGGTAGTCTAGTGGTTAAAGCGTTCGCTCGTCAGACCGAAGAACCGGGTTCGATTCCCGACAGGGGTACAATGTCTGAAGCCGTGATATTGTTGGAATATTGCTGGAATATTGCGGCGTAAAACAATACTCACTCACTCACAGAGGTCTGTACACCACTGTCTCTGATCCAAGAGACCAGTGGTTGATAGCATGAACAATGTATTACCCTACAGGTATACTACTACATGAATTAGTCAGGTCACACATTGTCACTCTATAATTCATTTTCCTCAACTCTTACACAAAGAATGGTAACCTGAGGAGCTATTCTACCCGGGTATCTCCATCGGGTGAAGTGAGGGGATATAGGGCTTCAAAATGTCGCGTTCAAGATTACTGCACGTATATAGCAACACCCCCATATGGGCATGCACGTGTGTGTGTGGCTGCTTGTACTAGTCCGGACTAATGCCGGTTTTATAGTGCTAGCCCACTGAGTACAATGAGATGCATGGATACCCTCTCAGAGTGAGTGAGTTGGGTTTCACGCCGCTTTCAAAAGTATTCCAGCTATATCACGGCGTGTCAGCTTAATGTGGGAGGAAAGCCCGAAGTGATGCAGGTCTCAGACGTTCACCAGTTCGGTGAAACCCACGAGCACGGGTATGGTGCTGACAAACTTAGAAACATAATCGGGGCGAACCGGGATTCGAACCCACAATCATAGGTTTCTGGCGTGCCCAAGGGACACCACTCTGCACAGCGAATCGCGGCGCCTCAGACGACTGGGCCACCCATGCCCCCCTCAGACACAGTGTACTGACTCCGAGCCGACCCATCTCCGGGGCGATGCTCTATCTTAAAGACCACGGAGGTTGTCTATATCTCCATGGGATGATATTTTAAAATAATTAAAACAATATTTCTGTCAAATGCTTTATTATGCAAATGGAAATGATCATTTCCGAAGAAGTATCCCTAAATACGTAAATGAAATATTTTTGTATCAACAAGTTCAAAGGTTCAATGTGTAATTCATTATTCTTCCAAGCAAATGCTTACATTTATCAAAATTATTCATATGTATACAATGAAACATTGTTTATATATATCATCATGACATTATGACATAACATGTATAACCTAGTGGGTAAATAAATTTTAATGTCACAGTCATCAATATCTCGGCTATGAGGTCAACATTGGCCAAGCTAATACCAACAGTGTGTGCAGTTTGACTTTGAACATTGAGCGTGGATAAGTTTTGTTTACTCTTATGTAAGACTTTGTGATTCAAGAGCATGGGTATGGGACTGACAAATCAAGGATCTTGATCAGGATAAATCAGGTACATCCCTGAACATCAAGGAAACAAACAGGTAGCAGAGGTATCGTAAGGCCCCTTGTTCCCCAGTATGCTGACCTTAACCTTGTTGCTGGCGATCTATAGCCCCATTTTTATATTGTGTCGTACCTCAATAATCAGATATTTTTAATGTTCTACAACTAGTTTTAAGTCAATCTGTGATATATTGCTAGTGATTATACTGTCCTTCGTCGACAGTTTTTATAACTATTGTATAACTTGTTCAAGTCACATTATGGCTGAAATATTGCCGACGTGACTTTAATTAAACTCACTCACTCACTCACTCACCCTGAACATCAGGTTGCAGCATGTCTCTCAGATGCCACTCAAGGAATTTGGATGTCTGAGAACACCTGACCATTCCATACATCATCATCTAATGCATCCTGAGCCAACCAATAGTCAATACAGTGAGCACCACTCACATACGGATAATAATCAAGCTGTTTTCATACAATAGACAGCAGAACCTGGTACTGCTCAGAGGCACAACTCTTTAGGGACCTAGGAATAAGACCATTAAGCCATCAATACATTCTGTATGATTGTATCAATATTATGCTGCATTATGCCAATTACATTTTCCCCATGATACTAAAAACTCTCTGATAAAATAAGTAGCATATATTCTGAAGACTCCGTAGATTAATGAGCATGTCATTTCGAAAATCTACAAACATTCATGTCACCTGACCTCAAATGGTGAATGTCTCATCCTTCTTTATGAGACCCGTGAAGATCCGGGGTAGAATAGGTCTTCAGCAACCCATGCTTGCCGTAAAAGGCGACTATGCTTGTCGTAAAAGGCGACTAACGGGATCGGGTGGTCAGGCTCGCTGACTTGGTTGACGCATGTCATCGATCCCAAATTGCGTGGATCGATGCTAATGATTCCACTCACTGGATTGTCTGGTCCAGACTGGATTATTTACAGGCCGCAGTCATACAGCTGGAATATTGCTGAGTGCGGCGTAAAACAACAAACAAACAAACCTTCTTTATGAGTTGCACACTGCCTTAGAGCAAGTGCATGATACTGCTACTTGTGCTGATAATATTCGTTATCTGTCACTCAAACATTTACCCGAGACATGCTTAGAAACATTGTTACATATATGCACACAATTGAAAGACAGTTGCAGCTCTTTCTAAATACAATCCAATGGTTGGTCACAGCGTAACCAGCCTCAAGTTCTATTCTGTCGACAATATATACCCCATAGTGACCCAGACTTAAATCAAGCAGGCACTCCCATTAAAGTTGTAAAGGAATCCACATTTTTTAGAATAATTCTTCATCAGCCCCTACTTTTTTGCCACATGTCAAACATCTGAAAGCTAAGTGTCTGAAGGCACTTGATTTTAAATTTAAATTTCCGAATGGGGAGGTGGTCAGTTGACCCTCCTTCACTTGTAAACATAACTTATCCTTTCAAAACTCGACTTTGGTTCAATCAACTATGGCGGAACCCTTAAAAGCAACCTTAGGATATTAAATACTATCCACCATCAAGTTCTAAGACTTTGTCTTGTATCTTTCCGAACTTCTTTTGACAGTCTGTACGCTGAGGCCGATGAGATATATCTTAAACCCCGCATTAAACTATCTTGACAGTATAGCACAAAGTTATATCATAATAAGTCCAACCCTGCATACAACATTGTGTTTAACCCCCATTATGGGGATCTGAATAATAAAATGTCATCTTTTATTACGCCTGTTGGAATAAGAATTAACCCTTTTAGTTCTGCTGCTAATTTTAAACTTGATAATATATATATATATACTTTCTTCTCCGCCTTGACTAAACTAACCAAATCAGAAACAGTATCAACTAAAATGTAATCACTTTGAAGTACATCTAATACTTACAAATCGAAATTTACCGATGGGTCGAAGGATGGTGACGCTGTTGCCAACACCACCATCGTTGGATCCAGACGTTTTTCAACGAGATTACAACGTAGTTTTTCCCTTTCACAGTCGAATCAAAAGTCATTTACACAGCTCAAGAATACATCAATAAACAGTCTAAATATAGCCAATTCATTATTTCTTCAGACTGTCATGTCTTCAGGCTTTAAGACATAATTTGCGTCAGCATACAGTTTTACCCGACATCATTGCATTACATGACAACCTGTCGGGATGAACGTTACGCCCCCAACCGTGTACAGCAGGTTTTCCCATTTGGCGGCGGGAGTGTCATGGCATGGGCCGGAATTCATCACGGTGGTAGGACGCCTCTCGTGCATGCGGCAGGTGTGCGTTACAGAGACTTGATTCTACAGCCTTACGTTCTTCCCCACGTCAACGTTCATGGCGGACAGTTCCAGCAGGACAACGCTCGACCGCATATTGCACGTGTTTGTCAGGACTTCTTACAGCACAATAACATCCAGACATTACCTTGGCCAGCCCGGTCACCAGATTTGTCCCCGATTGAGCATCTGTGGGACGAGTTGGATCGACGCGTTCTCAGAAGGAATCCACCACCCCAAACACTTCCGGCGCTTCTCGATGCACTTCAGCATGAATGGCAGCACATCCAACAGCGTGTTATTGACAACTTGATTGCATCTATGGGTCGTCGGTGTCAATCGGTGATTGATGCACGTGGTGGGCACAACCGATACTGACATTTTCTGTACCCCTGTGATATTAACTGTATCGTGTACGTGTGTCTGTCTTGGTGACACGAATAATGTTTCGAACATTGTGTACATTGATCTTCAAACAGTGTCTCAGTTATGGTTTCTGTGTCCTATTTTGACACAATTGCATTTTGAAAGTCAGTGTCAAGTTTCTTTTTTTTGAAGAGTATATATATATATATATATATATATATATATATATATATATATATATATATATATGTACTCCTTCTCCCTGAGTATCTCTTCCCCCAATTCTGAATCATGCGATTCACATATGATACATATGAATAACCGCTTAGACTTATCCTCATTTCCCTGACAATATTCATATAAGTTAGGGAACATGACCCAATCTGCAGTACTTGCAGGCCACTAGGTTGGAGATAGCAACGCCCCGTCGTCCTTCCGTCTCTGTTTGTGTATCTTCCGAGTTTTATATTGCTAAAAAGAGGTTTGCCAAAGCATCGTTTACAAAACGGTGGATAACTCTTACTCGGCATTACGTCATCCGGAAATTGCCGATTTCAGAAACATCGGCAACTGTCGTAGTTTTCAACGCAACTCTCCCATTATACAAGGAACACCTAAATGGATTTAACAATGAACGCAGGGGATGTTGTTATACTATCATTGTCTTGATCTGACTAAAGGTATAATCATGTAAACTATTATCATTGCTATCCAGTGTGTCAGGTCATCATTTTTAGATACCAGGAGGTCAAACACACTTTGATGTCCTTTGAAGGCTGCCATCATTACAGGAGTCCACCCGCTCTGTCCTCGAGTATTGACATTTGATGGAGACACAAGACATTGTACTATGGCGGTGTCACCGCCTTTGCAGGCAATATGAAGTAAACTATCACCGTTGTTGTCCACCAGTGTCAGGTCAGCATGTTTAGATACTAGGAGGTCAAACACACTTTTATTTCCTTTCATGACTGCCATCATTACAGGAGTCCTCCCATAATGTCCTCTAGTATTGACATTTGATGGAGACACAAGATATTGTACTATGGCGGTGTCACCACAGACAAACAATCACCGTTGTTGTCCACCAGTGTCAGGTCAGCATTTTTAGATACCAGGAGGTCAAACACACTTTTATTTCCTTTCATGACTGCCATCATTACAGGAGTCCTCCCATAATGTCCTCTAGTATTGACATTTGATGGAGACACAAGACATTGTACTATGGCGGTGTCACCGCCTTCGCAGGCAATATGAAGTAAACTATCACCGTTGTTGTCCACCAGTGTCAGGTCAGCATGTTTAGATACAAGGAGGTCAAACACACTTTGATGTCCTTTGAAGGCTGCCATCATGACAGGAGTCCACCCATACTGTCCTCTAGTATTGATATTTGAAGGGGACACAAGATATTGTACTATGGCGGTGTCACCGCCATTGCAGGCAATATGAAGTAAACTATTACCGTTGTTGTCCACCAGTGTCAGGTCAGCATGTTTAGATACCAGGAGGTCAAACACACTTTGATGTCCTTCGAAGGCTGCCATCATTACAGGAGTCAACCCATACTGTCCTCTAGTATTGACATTTGAAGGGGACACAAGATATTGTACTATGGCGGTGTTACCATCAAAACAGGCATTATGAAGTAAACTATCACCGTTGTTGTCCACCAGTGTCAGGTCAGCATCTTTAGATACCAGGAGGTCAAACACACTTTGATGTCCTTTCATGGCTGCCATCACTACAGGAGTCCACCCGTTCTGTCCTCTTGTATTGACATTTGAAGGGGACACAAGATGTTGTACTATGCCCGTGTTACCACCATAACAGGCAAGATGAAGTAAACTATTGCCATTTGTGTCCACCAATGTCAGGTCAGCATGTTTAGATACCAGGAGGTCAAACACACTTTGATGTCCTTTGCCGGCTGCCATCATTACAGGCGTCCACCCGTTCTGTCCTCTTGTATTGACATTTGAACGGGACACAAGATGTTGTACTATGGCGGTGTCACCGCCATTGCAGGCAATATGAAGTAAACTATCATCGTTGTTGTCCACCAGTGTCAGGTTAGCATTTTTAGACACAAGGAGGTCAAACACACTTTGATGTCCTTTCATGGCTGCCATCATTACAGGAGTCCACCCGTTCCGTACTCGAGTATTGACATTTGACGGAGACACAAGATATTGTACTATGGCGGTGTTTCCGCCTTCGCAGGCAATGAGAAGTAAACTATTGCCTTTCTTGTCCACCAGTGTCAGGTCAGCTTTTTTAGATACTAGGAGGTCAAACACACTTTGATGTCCTTTGAAGGCTGCCATCATTACAGGAGTCCACCCGTTCTGTCCTCTAGTATTGATATTTGATTGAGACACAAGATATTGTACTATGGCGGTGTTACCTCCATAGCAGGCATTATGAAGTAAACTATCACCGTTGTTGTCCACCAGTGTCAGGTCAGCATCTTTAGATACCAGGAGGTCTAACACACTTTGATGTCCTTCGAACGCTGCCATCATTACAGGAGTGAGCCCATACTGTCCTCTAGTATTGACATTTGAAGGGGACACAAGATATTGTACTATGGCGGTGTTACCACCAAAACAGGCACTATGAAGTAAACTATCACCGTTGTTGTCCACCAGTGTCAGGTCAGCATGTTTTGATACCAGGAGGTCAAATACACTTTGATGTCCTTTCATGGCTGCCATCATTAAAGGAGTCCACCCGTTCTGTCCTCTTGTATTGACATTTGAAGGGGACACAAGATGTTGTACTATGGCGGTGTTACCACCAAAACAGGCACGAAGAAGTAAACTATTGCCATGTTTGTCCACCAGTGTCAGGTCAGCATGTTTAGATACCAGGAGGTCAAACACACTTTGATGTCCTTTGAAGGCTGCCATCATTATGGATGTCCACCCGTCCTGTCCTCTTGTATTGACATTTAAAGGGGACACAAGATATTGTACTATGTTGGTGTTACCGCCATCGCAGGCTTTATGAAGTACACTATTGCCGTTGTTGTCCACCAGTGTCAGGTCAGCATCTTTAGATACCAGGAGGTCAAACACACTTTGATGTCCATTGAAGGCTGCCACCATTACAGGAGTCCACTCGTTCTTTCCTCGAGTATTGACATTTAAAGGGGACAAAAGATATTGTACTATGGCGATGTTACCACCAAAACAGGCATCATGAAGTAAACTATCACCGTTGTTGTCCACCAGTGTCAGGTCAGCATCTTTAGATACCAGGAGGTCAAATACACTTTGATGTCCTTTCATGGCTGCCATCATTAAAGGAGTCCACCCGTTCTGTCCTCTTGTATTGACATTTAAAGTGGGCACAAGATGTTGTACTATGGCGGTGTTACCACCATAACAGGCATTATGAAGTAAACTATTGCCATGTTTGTCCACCAGTGTCAGGTCAGCTTTTTTGGATACCAGGAGGTGAAACACACTTTGATGTCCATTGAAGGCTGCCATCATTACAGGAGTCCTCCCATAATGTCCTCTAGTATTGATATTTGAAGGGGACACAAGATATTGTACTATGGCGGTGTCACCACCATAGCAGGCAAGATGAAGTAAACTATCACCGTCTTTGTCTACCAGTGTCAGGTCAGCAATTTTAGATATCAGGTCAAACACACTTTGATCTCCTTTGAAGGCTGCCATCATTACAGGAGTCCACCCGTTCTGTCCTCTAGTATTGACATTTGAAGGGGACACAAGATATTGTACTATGGCGGTGTTACCACCATAACAGGCATTATGAAGTAAGCTATCACCATTGTTGTCCACCAGTGTCAAATCAGCATTTTTAGATACTAGGAGGTCAAACACACTTTGATGTCCTTCGAAGGCTGCCATCATTACAGGAGTGAGCCCATACTGTCCTCTAGTATTGACATTTGAAGGGGACACAAGATGTTGTACTATAGCCTCGTTACCACCCTTACAGGCTAGGTGAACTATGTCATCTCCATTGTAGTCTTTGGTTTTCTTGTTTGATATTGATTGCAATACCTCATAGCAATCATTAGATCCTGTGAGTGCTGCAACCATAAGAGGAGTCCTGCCTTCATTATCTGTAGAGTTCATTACTTTATCCTTCAACTCATCATTAAAGAGTTTGATGTCGTGTTCTTTTAATACCGTTAGTGTATTCGCATGTCCTGCCATGCATGCTAGGTGTATGATGGTTTTCTTGTCTGCATCAGTACTTAATACATTGGCACCATTTTCTATTAGATAAACAAGTATTTCCGAACTCCCATTTGCAGCTGCCAGCAAAAGCAAACTGTTAATACCAATACCTGGACTTTCACTTCTGGAGAAAAGCCACTTTAATGCGGTCAGGTTATTTTTGAACACACAACCTAACATCGCTTCACTGATCTCTGTTTGAGTAAATTCTTCTCGGGTTAGGTTTTCTAGTTCAAAGACAAAATTGTTATTATGTCCAAGAACTGCCCAAAACAAAAAGCATTTCTCCTTTTCTCTCTTGTGGACCCAGCATTCGTCCATGGATCCATCATGTTGTAGTTTCTCAAGTAATTGAAGAGCTACTTGTTCTTGTTGGAGAATGGGGTGTGTCACTGATTTTGAAAACTGACCATTCTTTATTGACTCAGCAAATCGTGTAGTTAGGATATCATGATATGCTTCTGAGACATAGATCAGGTGGAGATGATCATCAATTATGGTTTCTTGAACTGGCTGTGGTTGCACACGCTCATATATAAAATTGTCACTGCAATGAGTCAGCACAAATTCTGGACTGATGTCAAACAACGAACAAGCGCAAGCATCAGATATCGAGGGATGGGCAAATCCAACAACATCACCACGGCTAAAGAATGTTCCTCTAAAAGTCGTTGCCGCTTCGTGCATTCCTAAACGTGAAGCTTTTGGCCGTAACTCTAAAACAGTTCTGACCATGATGTCCAGTTTCTGGTCCTTGCCGTCTGCTTGCAACTTGGCCAAATCTAACTTATCCTCACACAGTAGCATTAGAATTAATATGGCAGATCGATCAGTGTTGGACTTCAGTAATTTTAGAAGTTCTAGCTTGAGATAAAATAGAGGTTCCTTGAAAAAGTTCTTTGCATTTCGGGTAAAAGATGAAAATTCCAAAAAAAGTTTACAAGTAAGAGGAATTCCAAAAATATTTGAATCTGTGTCCAAGTCTTCATAATCAGGTAGATCTTCACAATCTTCATCAGAAGATTCTCTGTGTAGATTCCTATGGTGATCATATATAGCCATTTTCTCTGCTTGAGTATACCGGTGTTGCTTCTGAGTTGTTAAATCCATTACTGTTTGACTCTTGAACAGTGCGAATCTCTCATACTGCAGCTGGGTAAGTCCAGCATGGAAGTTATATGTCTTGGATGTGAAGATAACACGAATATCCTTTGTGGGATGTTCTTTTGGGTCAGAAACTCCACTCGTTTTACTTTCATCTTTACCTTCTTTCTTAGGTTGCCGCTTTCGTTTCTCAGACGCCCTTTTGCAGTGTCGTAAGTGTTGATAAAGTGTATTGAGAATTGTTGTAAGCTGTGAAACATCTGTAGATAACCTAACAGTACCAAACATATCATCTATGATCAGAAATACTCTAGGTGATGAGCTCAAGAAGCTATCCAAGTCAAACTGTTCAATTCTGTCCACAAATGCAAGTTTGTACCCCTTTTGTCTGTACTGTGAACCCAGCACGAGAGCTGCCGTAGTTTTACCTTCCCCTGAAGCACCACAGATGGTGACATGACCAAAATCCTTTAGTTTCCTTTCCACATTCCTGAAGCTCTCCGTTTCAACAAATATTTCTTCGGCATCATCTATACGGAGATCAAGGGTAGCTACAAATAAAACAATCTTGTTATTTCTTTTATAATGAAATAATATTATTATTAAGAATGCTTCTGCTGTGGGTTTATAATCCATGTTTTGAATATTTGGCATAAAGAACTGTTTGTCTCGACTCATGATTCCTAAATTCTAGCTTCTCTCTCTACCCAGGAAATCACAGTCTAGTTAGTTTTAAATAAATAGTTGTGAAATTGTTCAATTTGATAACAGTATTTAAGAACAAAATAACTTACTTGCTAGCAGCAGAAACAATCTTTTTCTAGATTAAAGTTAATTGTTTTAAATATTGAACATGAGTAGTTTATATGTGATGCCGTGAAATGCATGCATCCGCAACATTGCTGATGGTAGCGTCAAACATCATTCACTCACTCGCTCTGATATGTGAGAAATATTAATATGTGAAACATCTTCTACTTTTGTAGGCAACCCTATTGTGCCATAAGCAATATCCATCAGTGTCCTAACTTTTAAGTTTCCTTCAAACCTGTCAAGGTGGTTGGACCTACCTTCACCAACTGTCCCTGTCGGCCCAGTAAATATGTTCTGCGTCCCGACGAGAGTGGTGATGCTATGAGTGACATCGCCTGTCAACACCAATCAATGACACAAGAGTATAACGCTTAATAACATTTTAGAAACACACATGACCTGTGTAGCTCACCTTCTACTGGAGCACATGTGCATTACGTTTTGAATAGTGATATTATTCTTCAGTTTTTTGTAAAGGCTTCAACTCAAATTTCATACCATTATAAACAAGAAGACAGTGCCATCCACATCCCTCACAATCCCTGCAAGCTTACAATTATATACTCTTCAAAAAAAGAAACTTGACATAGATGTAAAACCACTTTTGCCAAATATCTAAAATAATAACATTAAATGAGAACCAGATAAGTCAAACAGAAAGATGGTGTGTCTATAATTCGCTCAAACACATGCAAAGCACATAAACGTAGCGTTTGAGGATCAATTTTACAGCTTCATCCAAACGCAACAGGATCCTGCATTTAGGCATGCAGGCCCCCCTGCTGAATGGGTATAAAAATCCACATCAACGTCTGTTCATACAGTCTTTATAACGGCAGTAGAGGCGGTGACAGAATGTCAAGACTGAATGCAGCTCAACGGAACAACGCCATTGGGATATTACAAGCTGGAGCAACTCAGCAAGAAGTGGCCAGGCACTTTGGCGTATCCAGACAGACAATCTCCGCACTGTGGACCCGAAACACCAACACCAAGAGGGTTGACGACAGACCAAGGTCAGGAAGACCAAGGGTGACAACCCAAGCACAAGATCGATACATCCGGCTGCGACACCTCCCAGACCGCACTACCACAGCCACATCTACAACCACACAGATCCCTGGGGTAAGCAGAATATCAGATCAAACGGTATGCAACAGACTGAGGGAGGCTGGACGTTTTGCACGAAGACCTGTTCGACGTCATGTATTGACCCCACGTCATCTTGCGGACCGTCTGGTTTGGTGCTTGTACTAGTTTGAACTAATGCCGATTTTATAGGTATCATGAGGTATGATGCCGCGGTTTAACAAGACTTCCCTACTCAGACACAGTATACTGACGACGAGCCGACCAGCCTTATATGAGCCCCTTAGTACCGGGCGCCAGGCAGGGAAACAACAAGTACCATGTTTTAACGTCTTTTGGTATGACGCCGCCTGGGATCGAACCTCGGACGCTCTACCATTAGACCATGGAGGCGGTCTTTGAACGTGAGTGTTGAAAGTGTGTACTATGTAAATAAACATGTCCTGAATAATTCTGCAGAAGAAACGACACCCAATGCCTCATATTGGAGACGAAGTGCAAACTGGTATCCATAGAAACAGAACAAATACATTTACTGATGAAACCATGATAGCAAAAGGCACAGCTACAGAAGATGGTGAGCTTTCTCCTTCCACACAAGACAAACACATTTATCCCAGTGTTTACGTCCACGTTGGATTTGTTAATCTAGTCTCCTGTTACAATGTTAAATAATCACCTGATGAAGATAAGCTTGGTTTTGGTTATATTTTCTATCATCAATCAATTATACATGGAATTGGGCCACACATCTGCCTTGAAGGTACAGTACTTAATCGTTGATTTCAGGTGATTTGGGTACTTTATGTTTTAAAATGATTTCTTGGTTGATTAATTGTGAAATAGAAATGCCAACAGACCTGAGTTGATAGTCTGTGGAATACCCTCTGAGGTGATAAGCTCCATCATCTCGTCTTCAGGGTCATCCTGTGTTGGCAACACAATTGTGAGGTCATCTGAACTGGCCATCTCAGGTGTAGTTGTTCACATAACTACAGCACGTAGGGAAGAAGTTGCCGCTGTCATGTCTATCTACCTGAACAAACAAACAACCGTATCCCATAATTCATAACACATTTTATTAATGCTGAGCAGTGGTAGACTGTCCAAACCTCATTGCAACCTCTGAAGAATTATTTACAGTACCTAACAATAGCAATATTACAATTATGATTGATTACACAATGAATAAAAGACTCAAAGTCTGTATTGATTAACCCTTGCAGATGTTTTGTCCAATATGCCCCACATAGGTACAATACCCCACATGGGTACAATACCCCACAAGGGTACAATACCCAACATCGGTACAATGCCCATCATGGGTACAATACCCCACATGGGTACAATACCCCATATGGGTACAATACCCTACATGGCTACAATGCCCCACATGGGTACAATACCCCACATGCCAATACCCCACATGAGTACAAAGCCCATCATGGGTACAATACCCACATGTGTACAATGCTCCACATAGGTACAATACCCAATATGGGCACAATAACCCGAATGGGTACAACCCCACATGGGTACAATACCCAACATGGGTACAATACACCACATGGGTACATACCCCTCATTGGTACAATGTCCCTTATTGGTACAATGACCCACATAGGTACAATACCCCTCATGGGTAAAATACCCATAAGGGTACCATACATCACATGGGTACAATCCCCCAAAGGGTACAAAACCCCACATGGGTAAAATACCTATAAGGGTACAATACCTCACATGGGTACAATGCTCCACAAGGGTACAATGCCCCACATGGGTACAATGCCCAAAATGGGTACAATACCTCACATGGGTGAAATGCCCATCATGGGTACAATGGCCTACATGGGTACATTACCCCACATGGGTACAATACCCCACATGGGAACAATACCCAACATGGGTATAATACCCAACATGGGAACAATGACCCACATAGGTACAATGCCTATTATGGGAACATAGTCCCACATGGGTACAATACCCCACAAGGGTACAATACCCCACAAAGGTACAATGCCCCACATGGGTACAATACCCATCATCGGTACAATACCCCACATGGGTACAATGCATCACAAGGGTACAATACCCCATATGGGCACAATACCCCGCATGGGTACAATACCCCACATGGGTACAATGCCCCACATAGGTACAATGCCCCCCATGGGTACAATCCCCCAAAAGGGTACAATACCCAACATGGGTATAATACCCCATATGGGTACAATGCCCCACATGCGTACAAGGCTCCACATGGGTACAATACCCCACATCGGTACAATAACCCACATGGATACAATGCCCCATATGCGTACAACGCCACACATAGGTACAAGGCTCCACATGGGTCAAATACCCCTCATTGGTACAATACATCACATGGGTACAGTGCCCTACATGTTTACAATGCCCCCAAAGGGTACAATGACTATAAGGGTACAATACCTCACATGGGCACAATGCCCCAGATCGGTACAATACCCCACTTGGGTACAATGCCGCATATGGGTACAATACCCAACATGGGTACAATACCACACATGGGTACAATGCCCATCATGGGTACAATGGCCTACATGGGTACAATATCCCACATGGGTACAATACCCCACATGGGTATAATACACCACATGGGAACAACGCCCCACATGGGTACAACGCCCATCATGGGAACAATGCCACACATGGGTACAATAACCTACAAGGGTACAATACATCACATGGGTACAATGCCTCACATGGGTACAATGCCCCCAAAGGGTACAAAACCCCACATGGGTAAAAAACCTATAAGGGTACAATACCTCACATGGGTACAATGCTCCACATGGGTACAATGCCCCACATGGGTACAATGCCCCCCATGGGTACAATACCCCACATGAATACAATGCCCAACATGAGTACAATACCCCACATTGGTACAATGCCCCACTTGTGTACAAGGCCCCACATGGGTACAAGGCCCCACATTGGTACAATGCCCCACATGGGTACAATCCCCCAAAAGGGTACAATACCCAACATGGGTATAATACCCCATATGGTACAATACCCCACATGGGTACAATGCCCCACATGCGTACAGGGCTCCACATATGTACAATACCCCACATGGGTACAATAACCCACATGGGCACAATGCCCCACATGCGTACAAGGCCACACATAGGTACAAGGCTCCACATGGGTCAAATACCCCTCATTGGTACAATACATCACATGGGTACAGTGCCCTACATGGGTACAATGACTATAAGGGTACAATATCTCACATGGGCACAATGCCCCAGATGGGTACAATATCCCCCATGGGTAAATTGCCTATAAAGGTACAATACCTCACATGGGTACAATACACCACATGGGTACAATGCCGCATATGGGTACAATACTCCACATGGCTAAAATACCACACATGGGTACAAGGGCCTACATGGGTACAATACCCCACATTGGAACAATACCCCACATGGGTATAATACACCACATGGGAACAACGCCCCACATGGGTACAACGCCCATCATGGGAACAATGCACCACATGGGTACAATAACCTACAAGTGTACAATACCCCCAATGGGTAAAATGCCAAGCTTGGGTAGAATGCCCCACATGGGTACAATACCCAACATGGGTACAATGTCCTACATGGGTACAATACTCCACATGGGTACAATGCTCTACATGCCAATACCCCACATGAGTACAATGCCCATCATGGGTACAATAGCCCACATGTCTACAATGCTCAACATGGGTACAATACCCCATATGGGCACAATAACCCGAATGGGTACAACCCCATATTGGTACAATACAGCACATTGGTACAATACTCCACATTGGTACAATGCCCCTTATTGGTACAATCCCCCACATAGGTACAATGCCCCACAAAGGTACAATACCCCTCATGGGTAAAATTCCCATCAGGGTACAATACATAACATGGGTACAATGCCTCAGATGGGAACAATGCCCCTAAAGGGTACAAAACCCCACATGGGTAAAATACACCACATGGGTGCAATGCCCCATATGGGTACAATACCCCACATCGCTAAAATACCACACATGGGTACAATGCCCATCATGGGTACAGGGGCCTACATGGGTACAATACCCCACATTGGAACAATACCCCACATGGGTATAATACACCACCTGGGAACAACGCCCCACATGGGTACAATGCCCCACATAGGTACAATGCCTCACAAAGGTACAATACCCCTCATGGGTAAAATTCCCATCAGGGTACAATACATCACATGGGTACAATGCCTCAGATGGGAACAATGCCCCTTAAGGGTACAAAACCCCACATGGGTAAAATACCTATAAGGGGACAATACTTCACATGGGTACAATGCTCCACAAGGGTACAATGCCCCAGATGGGTACATTGCCCCACATGGGTACAATACCCCACATGGGTACAATGCCCCACATGGGTACAATACCTCACATGAGTGTAATGCCCATCATGGGTACAATGGCCTACATGGGAACAACACCCAACATGGGTATAATACCCAACATGGGAACAATGGCCCACATAGGTACAATGCCTATCATGGGAACATAGCCCCACATTGGTACAATACCCAACAAGAGTACAATACCCCACAAAGGTACAATGCCCCACATGGGTACAAAACCCATCATCGGTACAATACCCCACATGGGTACAATGCTCCACGAAGGTACTATACCCCATATGGGCACAATGCTCCACAAGGGTACAATGCCCCACATGGGTACAACGCCCCACATGGGTACAATACCCCACATGGGTACAATGCCCACATGGGAACAATGCCCCACATGGGTAAAATACCCATCATGGGTACAATACCCCACAAAGGTACAATGCCCCACAAAGGTACAATACCCCACAAGGGTACACCCCCCACATGGGTACAATGCCCAACATGTGTACAAGGCCCCACATTGCTACAATGCCCCACATTGCTACAATGCCCCACATTGGTACAATGCCCCACATTGCTACAATGCCCCACATTGGTACAATGCCCCACATTGGTACAATGCCCGACATTGGTACAATGCCCCACATGGGAAGAATGTTCGACATCCGTACAAGGCTCCACATGGGTACAATACCCCACATGGGTACAATGCCCCACAAGGGTACAATACCCCCCCGGGGTAAAATGCTACGCTTGGGTACAATGCCCCACATGGGTACAATACCCCACATGGGTACAATGCCCTACATGGGTACAATACCCATCATGGGTACAATACCCAACATGGGTACAATGCCCAACATGGGTACAATACCCTATATGGGTACAATACCCTACATGGCTACAATGCCCTGTATGGGTACAATACCCTACATGGCTACAATGCCCCGTATGGGTGCAATACCCCACATGAGTACAATTCCAATCATGGGTACAATACCCCATATGGATACAATGCTCCACATGGGTACATTACCCCTTATGGACACAATAACCCGAATCGGTACAACCCCACATGGGTACAATGCCCAACGTGGTTACAATACCCCTCATTGGTACAATACCACTCATTGGAACAATGCCCCACAGGTACAAATGCCACGCTTGGGTACAATGCCCCTCATGGGTAAAATGCCCATAAGGGTACAAAACATCACATGGGTACAATGCCTCACATGGGTACAATGCCCCCAAAGGGTACAATACCCCACATGGGTAAAATACCTATTAGGGTACAATACATCACATGGGTACAATGCTCCTCATCGGTACAATGCCCCACATGGGTACAATACCCAACATGGGTACAATACCCCATATGGGTACAATACCCAACATGGGTACAATGCCCCACAAGTGTACAAGGCCCCACATTGGTACAATCCCCCCATAGGTACAATGCCCCCAAAGGGTACAATAACCCCCATGGGTACAATACCCCACAAGTGTACAAGGCCCCACATGGGTACAATGCCCCAACTTGGTACAATGCCCCCCATAGGTACAATGCCCCAAAAGGGTACAATA